GGGTATCTGGTATGTTCAAGAAATGTTTTCTGGGTGACAGGACTTGTGACTCTGACCTCGGTATAATGGTTTCAAGCTGAGGTATCAATCTTTTCTTCAGAGAAAGCGGGACTGCTGTCCTCTCGGTGTCTGCAGCTGTGGTTTGAGCGCCTGAGGGTGACCAGTCCGTGAATGGGGTGCTATGCTCTGGCTGTGTCTACTCGGCCCCATCCCTAGTTCCTTACGTAGCAAGAGGACCTTTGGACACTTAAAAAGCAAGCCCGTTGCCGTGAAGTTGACTCTGACTCGGGGTCCTGTTGAGCAGAGTGGAACTGCCTCATAGGATCTCCATGGCTGTCGTCTCTGCAGCCACCACTTGTCTGTCGGTGTGCCCTGCTGTGGCGGCTGGCACGTTGCTGTGAACCTGGAGGCAGGGTCACCCATGGTGGGCAGGTTTCAGCGCAGTTTCCGGACTAAGAAGGAAGGAGCTGTCCACTTCTCCAGACTGCAGAAGTTGGTAAAAAAGAATCGGTCAGTGAAACACTGTCTGGTATGTTACTGGGAAACTTGATGAAGAGGCCTGAAACATTGTCTGGTATAGTGTCGGAAGGCAAGCCCCTCAAGTCGGAAGGCACTCGAGACAACTGGGGAGGAGCTGCGTCCTCCAAGTAGAGTCAACCTTAATGCCGTGGATGGACCTTCATTGGCTGATGTGACATGACTCCAAATTGGAAGAAACAGCTGCAAACGTTCATTAATATTCGGAATGTGGAGTGTACAAAGTCAGACTCTAGGAAAATTGGAAGTTGTCAGAAATGAAATGGAACATATAAAGATGGATATCCCAGACATTAGTGAGCTGAAATAGACTGGTAATGGCTATTTTGAATCAGATAATCGTATGGTCTGCTGTGCCGGGAATGACAAACTGAGGAGGAATGATGTCTCATTCATTGTCAAAAAGAACATTTCAAGAGCTATCCTGAACTACAGTGCTGTCAGTGACAGGATAGCATCCATGCACCGATGAGGAAGAGCGGTGAATACTACTGTGATTCGAATTGATGCACCAGCCACCAAAGCCAGAGATGAGGAAATTGAAGATTTTTACCAACTTCTGCAGTCTGGAATTGACCAAACATGGAATCAAGATATATTGATAATTACTGGTGATTGGAACACAAAAGTTGGAAACAAAGTGGCATCAGTAGTTACAAAATATGGTCTTGGTGATAGTAATGATGCCCAAGATCACATGATAGAATTTTGCAGGACTGATGATTTATTCAGTGTAAATACATTTTTTCAACAACATAAGTGGTGACTGTACACATGGACCTCACCAGATGGAGTACACAGGAGTCAAACCGACCCTGTCTGTGGAAAGAGACAATGGAGAAGCTCAATATCATCAGTCAGAACAAGGCCAGGAGCTGACTGTGGAATAGACCATCAATTGCTCATTTGCAAGTTCAAGTTGAAGGTGAAGAAAATTAAAACAAGTCCACGAGAGCCAGAATATGACCTTGATTATATCCCTCCTGAATTTAGAGAACATCTGAAGAAATGATTTGATGCATTGAACACCAGTGACCAAAGACCAGACAAGTTGTGGGAGGACATCATCCATGAAGAAAGCAAAAAGGTCATTAAAAAGACAGGGAAAGAAGAAAAGAGCAAAATGGATGTCAGAATGAGACTCTGAAACTTGTTCTTGGACAGAGATTAGCTAAGCAAATGGAAAAAATGACAATATGAAAGAACAGAACAGATGATTTCAAAGAGTGGCTCAAGAAGACAGAGTAAAGTGTTGTAAAGAAATGTGCAAAGACCTGGAATTAGAAAACCAAAAGGGGAGAACAGCCTGGCATTTCTCAAGCTGAAAGAACTGAAGAAGATATGCAAGTCTCAAATTGCAATATTCAAGGATTCAATGGGCAGAACAGTGACCAATGTAGGAAGCATCAAAAGAAGATGGAGGGAATACACAGAGTCACTGTATCAAAAAGAACTGGTCGACGTTCATCCATTTCAGGAGGTGGCATGTGATCAAGAACCAATGGTATTGAAGGAAGAAGTCAAGCTGTGCTGAAGGAATTGGTGAAAAACAAGGCTCCAGGAATTGATGTTATATCCATTGAGATGTTTCGTCAAAGACATGCAGTGCTGGAAGCACTTACTTGTTTATGTCAAGAAATTTGGAAAACTGGCCAACTGACTGGAAGAGATCCATATGTGTGCCCTTTCCAAAGAAAAGTGATCCTAGAGAATGCAGAAATTATCGAACAGTAGCATCAATGTCACACACAAGTAAAATTTTACTGAAGATCATTCAGAAATGGTTGGAGCAGTATATTAACACAGAACTTCCAGAAATGCAAGCTGGAGTCAGAAGAGGATGTGGAATGAGTGACATCATTGCTGATGTCTGATGGGTCTTGGCTGAAAGCAGAGAATACCAGAAAGATGTTTTTATTGACTATGCAAAGGCATTTGACTGTGTGCATCATAACCAATTGTGGATAACATTGAGAAGAATGGGAATTCTAGAACACTTAATTGCGCTCATGAGGAGGCTATACATAGACCAGAAGGCTGTTTGAACAGAATAAGGGGATACTGCATAGTTTAAAATCAGGAAGAGTGTGTGTCAGGGTTGTATCCTTTCATCGTACTCACTCAATCTGTATACGCTGAGCAAATAACCCGAGAAGGTGAACTGTGTGAAGAACACAGGATCGGGAATCGGAGGAAGACTAATTGACAACCTGCGATATGCAGATAACACGTCTTTGCTTGCTGAAAGTGAAGGTGAAAATCAAAGACTACAGCTTGCAGCTGGACCACACCTCAATAGAAAGAAAACAAAGATTCTCAGAACTGGACCAAAAAGCAGCATCACAATAGATGGAGCAAATATTGAAATTGTGAGAGATATCATTTTTCCTGGGTCCCCAGTGAACTCCATAGAAGCAGCAGTCAAGAAATCAGACTTCATGTTGCACTGGGTTCATCTGCTGCAAGGGCCCTTTTAAAAGTGTTAAAGAGTAAAGATGTCCCTTTGCAGGTTAAGGTGTACCCAACTCAAACCATGGTGTTTTCAGTCACCTCATATGCATGTAAAAGCTGCTCAAGGTATAGGGAAGAAGTGATGGAGGGTCTGAGTGTGGACATCACATGTTGAGTTCTACACTTGGAGGAGTCTTTAGGCCTGGACACGTGTGTGATTTGTACACTGCTCCAGCCCGGGTGCCCTTCGCAGTTATGTCATTCTACCCAGAGGAAGGGTGAAAAAGGCCTTTTAATTCCTACAGAATTCTGGATCCCAGACAGAAGAAATCCAGCTCTTTGGAAGCGTTGGCGAGTGGGTTAGAAGTTTGAGCTGGGAGATTCTGCAGCTGGCAGAGGCTCGTATCCTCACAGTGGCAGCTTGTTGTGGGTGCTGAGTTGGGCCCCTGTGAGGCGGCTCCAGCCCTTCCTGCTGTCTGCGGTACCAGGGTGGCTGCTCTGTGGGTCTCAGTGGACAGTCTCTGGTGGCAGAGACGCTTGGCCTTCAGGCCAACTCCCCGGTGGAGGGTGGGTGAATCGGGCCCGAGGTGAAATGGGGGGGTGCTTCCCTGTGCAGAGTGCATGAATCGGGGCCTGAGGTGAAACAGCAGAGACTGCCTCCTGGACAGGCGGGTGCATATCGAAGGAGGGACTGGGGTCTAACTAGAGACACTAGTGTCTGTCGTCTTTGTCCTGAAGGGTTTGAGAAATGCCTGTGATGAGAATCCTGCTCCACATGCGTCAGTTTGGTGCATCAGACTGATGTAGCCTGTCTGTGTCGTCACACAACATTGCTCGTTAGAAATCGACTCGGCCCCATGAGAGGTGGTGTCACCCAGCTGTGGGGGCCTTCCCCACACAGGGAAACGGGACCACAGTACTTTCCCTCTCGCGGGGTCTGGTGGCCTTTGGGACTATGTCTTCTTTGTGCCCTTCACACTCATTCTCGTGTCGTGAGTGCCTGGGGAGTTTGTCCAGGGTTTCTGGATGTGCACATTGTAACAGGAGTGCACTTTGAAGTGTGCTGTTGGATCCTGAGCAGTGTTGCTCGGGGATCACGTTCCCCCTGACACGCAACACGGGCTGAGTGAGACTCTTGTAGAACGCCTCTTCAGAGCACCCCTGCTGGCACCTTCCTTGGGCGTGCTGAGTTAGAAACACAGGGTTAGGATCCCGGAAGCTACGTCGTAAATGATCTTGAGGAGATTGAGGTGAGCGTCCTGGTTAGGGGCGACCCCTTCCTACCTCCTTGAGCCCAGCAGAGGGATGTTCTCAGCCTGTGTTGGCTGCTTAAGGGCAGCGGGACCAAGGAATGGCTTTGAGTTGAGCCTGAGGGATGGCATGTGAAGGCAAAATGACCGCTCCTTCATTGGTTAGTAGGTTGAAGACAGAACACTTGAGCGCCATGGAGATTTTATTTTAGCAAGAAGACCAACATTAAACTGCAGAAGTTAAAGGCTGAGTGGAAAGTAGAGACCTTTCACACCACATACAGTGGTGCTTTGGGCCAAAAGGCCCGAGCCTCCAGGTCTACACCAGTCATTCTCAAACTCGGTCGACCCACAGACCAGCTTAAGGAAGCAAGAGGTCTCTCGGACCCTTCGCTGTCACTGGGCCCTAAGCCAGACAGCCCTTCGGCCCTCCCGGGCAGGTGGAGAAGGATTGTGGCTTTGATGAGATCCTCAGGGTGGGAGTCACAGACTCCAGAAGGAGCAGAAGCCATGAGTGAAGGCACTGGTGGCTAGCGTTCTGTTTCTGAGGCCAGCGACCTGCGTCCTTCAGGCCCATCCACACGTGTGATGCCCACGAGCCCAGGTGTGCCCATCACGAGATCTGTGCCTGGGAGCCACCTTTGGTCCTTATTAGGATGGGGATGGGGATCAGCATCAAGGCGTTGCTGGGTGTGGCGCTGAACCTGGTCCTGGGAGGCAGGTGGAGTGGCTGGGCCCTCTGACCCGTTGCTGTTGTTTCAGGGGGCCGAGGCCATGGTTCTGGAGAGTGTGATGTTTGCCATTCTTGCCGAGAGGTCTCTGGGTCCGAAACTCTATGGGATCTTCCCCCAAGGCCGCCTGGAGCAGTTCATTCCGGTAAGCTGGGGCCCTGCCTGGGCCGCTGACCTGCCCCACGGACAGGTGCTCGGCGTGACCTCCACTTAAACGGCATCAGAAATGAGACGGACGAAACCTTTGGTCGCTCCTACAAAGACATACGCATCCAAAATAAAGACTAGTTTGGAATCTGGTCGTCGCCTGCGCCCCCTCGTCCTGTAGAGCCCTCTCCGCTTCTTTGTAGAAGGCGCTGCTGGAGCCCATCGGCCGCTCCCTGCCGCATCGCTGGGCTCACCTGTGCTGCAGGGACCACCGTCCCCTCGCCTGACTTAGCTGCCCCACCTCTGTCATTCATTCATCCATTCGTTAGGACCCCCACCCCCATGTGCTTGTCAAGGCCAAGCTCAAATCCGCTATTTCCAGGAAGTCAGGATTAGTTCCCTTTCTTGTCACCCTGGGGACAGTTGTCATGCTGCTGTAACATCTGACAGCACGCCTGGGTACAGAGTCGTGTGTGGATCTGAGATGGAACGCTGCCCCCTCCCCACGCCTGGTCCCCATAACACGTCATACTCAAGAATGCTCATTAAATGTGCTGTTAGTGGGGTGCCGGGCCCTCCGAGCTAGCTTCTTTGGGTGGTGATGCTGCTCCTTGCTGGCCTGCCTGAGTGGTCACCTTCTCAAGGCAAGTCCCCTATGACGTCCTGCATACGAGAGGCCACCCTGTGCGGTGCACACGTGGTGTCTGGCAGGAGGTGGCCCACTCTCTCCCTGGTAGAGGAACCGTAGCCACCACTGGGTCCCCGTCTGTCAGGCACAGTATCCATTCCTAAGAGAATTTTGTCTGTCGAGTGGCATTTCGATGCCTTGCAAACACTGGCTTCCAGTTCTTCGGGCTGTGGTGAGACCATTCAGGTTCCTTCAGGAGATGCCATCTCCCAGCTCCCTTTTTCATTCCAGAGCCGGCGGTTGGACACCGAAGAATTAAGTTTACCAGATATCTCTGCAGACATAGCTGAGAAAATGGCCACATTCCATGGTATGAAAATGCCATTCAATAAGGAGCCAACGTGGCTTTTTGGAACAATGGAAAAGTAAGTGGTCAGCTCTCTTGGTCCTAACCCAGCCTCCATGGTGGCCTGCGACAGTACCCAGGAGCCACTGTGCACAAAGCTGGCCGCCCTTGGATTCCCGGGGGACAGGCTGCCCGTACTTTGCTTGTCCCGTAACTAAATCTCCTTTGTGTATAAAAGGGAAGCCTGGAACCCAGACAGGCTCGTTTGCAGAGGTGCAGTCATAGGGGGAGGAGTAAAGGGATCCCCAGAACATGGTGAACCCCCTCCCTGCAGCCCTGCCCCTCCGGCCGGGAGGGCAGAGGCCGTCCCCCTGCTGGGTAACTGCCCTGGCGAGGACGGGCCGAGGAGGACTGTTCGCTGACCGTGCCCCTTCTCTGGCGCAGGTACCTCAACCAAGTGCTGAGGGTCCAGTTTACCGGGGAGCCCAGGCTGAAGCTGCACCAGCTCCTGAGTTACAACCTGCCTCTGGAGATGGAGAAGCTGAGGTGAGGGTTTGCTCTCGTCCCCGACTTGGTAAGTGCAGCCTCCGTCTGGGGCACTGGAGCTGTGGAAGGCGCCCGGTCAACTCGCGCTGGCTCAGGACACACTGGGCAGGCGCTGCCTTGTGTCGCGTATCTTACTGCGGTCCCTTTGGCTTTCTCGCTGTTCGTTTGGTTTGTTGATGTTTCCTGGGCTTGGTATCTTTTCAGTCTGTTGGTTGAACTTCATCGTGGTTTGTGTGAAGGTTCACGGAGCAGATTAGTCCATCTTTCAATGACTCTCACACACTGTTAGGGGACACTACTTGCAATCCCCCTTCTCCTGTGGTTTTGCAGGATGAGTTTAAACAGATGAATGTGGTCCTCTGAAATCAGTTTTACACACGTGATCGCTTCTTCTCCAGTCGGCCCCTGGAGGTTTCCTGGAGGAGGTAGGAGTTCAGGTGATGTAAAGCAGAGGGAACGGTTTGGTGCCTACACCAGCAGAGAGCATCACAGGCCAGGCACGGAGTCAGGCAGATGAAGGAAACAGCTAAACCTACGCTCCAGGGAACCAGTGAGAACCTTGGTCCTGGTCTCCTCCAAGGAGATGCTGCCTGTGGTCTTCAGTGTGATGCTGGGGGCTGGCATGGCCTCTGAGAGGCAGTCACACCATTAGCTGCTCCAATATTTGTGTTTGTCTGTGTTGGGCCTGAGGACAGAGGCTGAGGATATGGAGACTGTGACATTCCACACGGAAGCACATGATAGCAGGCTAAGGGCAGCGTGTGCTGGGGGCCTGCATGCAGACGACAGGCACACGTGTGGAGCTGTAGGGATCTGGGGTTCAAGTCACAGACTTGCTGACGGTGCCACCATTTCTGTGAAAAATGTGCTTGGGGCTGTGGGTCGGCTTGGCGTGCCAGTCAGTGCCACGCGTGCTGGAAGAGAGTAGCTGCTTGTACCTTGGTCGGAAGCGCAAAGTGTAATAAGCTTTCCTTCTGCAGGTCGCTGCTGGAAGCCACTCTGTCTCCAGTTGTGTTTTGTCACAATGACTGTCAGGAAGGTAAGCGTCGCTCCCCAGTGTGTGGGGTGGGCTTGTGTGCATCCAGAGGCCGCGCCCGTGTCGGTGATGGACGCCCGCCCTGTCTGTCGTTAGAGGGTGCACGCCATCAGACGAGGGCACGGCCCTCCGGCGAAGCGTCCTGTGACCATTAACCAGAGAGCTGCACACCTACCACAGAGAAATCCCCAGGAGGTTAATAGGAAAGAGCAGGTTTCAGACCAACACGTAGGGTACATTCTCTTTTTGTAAAAAATACAGAAAAATCTGACAGAATATTCAGTAATGGGGGGCGGAGATGGGACTTCCACTTTCTAAGTCATACGGCTTTGTAGCATTTGAATCCTTAGGGTGAACATCTATGACCTTTTTATTCTGAGAAAACAGTTAGAAACAAGCTCCTCTCCTCAGTCAGCCTGGCCCTTCCGCACGGAGCAGCACATGGTGGCCTGCCAGAGCCGCTCCGCTCTTCTCAGTTCCCTCACTTCCCTGTGCTAGTGATGGCGCTGCTTTAGAAAGTTCAGTGCCGTGGTGTCCCTTACTGTGGCAGACGCCCCCGGTGCGCTGTCAGCGTCACCCCGCCGGCTGCCGTCCCCTGCGTGCGCCCAGCTGTGCTGCCAGCTCCGTGCCCAGCTTCTCCTCATTGCCACCACTGCTGCTGCTTTGTGCCGTTGTCTGCATCCCTGGCCACTGCCCAGGTCCAGCCACAGGCCCTGCCTTCCAGGCTCAACCATTCTGTTTTCATTCTGAGGACAGCCCCTTTTTGACACCTAGTCATCAGTAGGTGTCCGCTTTGAACTGGAAGGCAGAGGTCCCAGGTCCACCAGGGCATAGAGATTTTGGCTGGAGCTGCATGGGCCGCCCTCTGGGGTGGGCTGCCCTCTGGGGTGGGCCACCCTCTGGGATGGACCGCCCTCTGGGATTGGCTGCCTTCTGGGGTGGGCCGCCTTCTTGGATTGGCCGCCTTCTGGGATGGACCGCCCTCTGGGATGGGCCACTTTCTTGGATTGGCCGCCCCCTGGAATGGACTGCCCTCTGGGGTGGGCCGCCCTCTGGGATTGGCTGCCTTCTGGGGTGGGCCGCCTTCTTGGATT